TTGGGTTGCATGGCATTGCAATACTTGGATAGACTAAATGAGAGAAAGGACACTTGTGATTATTAATATATTATAAGTTCTAATATATTAATAATAATATTATTTAATTAGTATTGATCAAATATTAATCTAGTATTAATTTGGTGATCAAAGTGATACTAATTAAATACATAGGGTTGATTATGACAATCATCAATTCTTTTATGGTGGATTAATGATCCATGGTTTATGGGTTTGGTTATAACCATTTGGAGCTCCATGGATATGGGAGTTACAAACCTATGGATCATGAGAAATGAAGAGTCATGACAATTAAGGGCATTCATGTGGAAACCCTAATTATGACAACACTATAAAAGGGACCCTTTGGCTAGCAAAATCGGCACTAGAGAGTTCTTGTGAGGGCATAACCGATTTTGGGTGTAAGAAGTATTCTCTCAAGTTATTCCAAGTTTTGTGGTGTTGTGTGAAGCATTTGAGGCATGAAATTTGGGGTGCTAGGCTCACAAAGTCTTGAAGGAATCCAAGCAACAACAAGGTATGTATTTCTACTAGTCTTTATCTTTTATGTAATCCCCATGCCATGCTAGTTAGGAAATAACCTTGAAAAAGAAATTTGCATGTATATAGACAAAACATAGATTCAAGGTTATTAGGGTTGCATGTACACTTAGGAAGTGTTAGAATGCTTAAAACCCATCAGTGGTATCAGAGCCTAGGTTTGTTTTTGTATACTTGATGCAAAACTGCTTAAAAAAATCGAAAATTCTGCACTCTGACGACTGGACTCGCCGAGTTCATGGGGAGGACTCGCCGAGTCCATGAACAAATTCATCCTACTCGACGAGTAGAATCATGCACTCGACGAGTAGGAACGTGCTGGGCAGTTTTTCGAGTTTTGTTGCTGGAAATGGATTAAAATCATTATCCCAATCTGTTTTGGACTTGTAAAATCTGTTTTTCAAAATGATAATGATTATGTTAACCCATTTTACATGACTTTTATCAATTTTCAAGTATTGTATATGTTTATATGATTTCTTAAAATTGCTTGACATGAATTTGTGTTCTTATGAGTTTTAGAAGATCATAGGAATTATGTGTAACCTCCATGTGTGTTTAATTCATGATCTTAATTGTAATGATGGTGTCCATAACTTGTCCTCAAGTTATGGATAACCAAAAGTCACTTCTTTAAATTGTGATTAAAGAACTAAATAGGTTTCATAAAATGAAGAGTCTTCATTTTTATGAACCATTAAAACTCATAAGTTACAAATTGAAGAGACTTGGAATAGTTTCAAATCTTGCCCTCAAGTTTTGCAATTTGAAAAGTCTTACACTTTAATACTTTAATTCCAAATTAAACCTTAGATTTTTAAAAGTTTAAAAATCAACACTTATACTATTATTATAATCTTATTTATATAGATATGTATAATAATAAGTCACACTTACCGCAAGTAGGCCTCATTCACGAAGCCGGTCTATAAGGGGGGTATAAGGTTGTTGCCTATAAAATGGCAACTTAATGGGTGTCCACTCTCACCCACCGCTTCCTTGACTGGTGGAGGGTCGTTAGCCGAACGGGTAGGACAAGACTTTAATTCTCATTGAAAGTATAATGAATTATAAAGTAACTATACATTATTAATTCCCAATCTTAGTTACTTTAGGAAAATGTGAAATAGGTGCTAACCCATAAAATTACACTTTGTACCTTACCAAGTCGTTAGTGGAGCGTGTGTGGTTAACCGGCACACTAACAAGGACTAGTAAGTGTGGCAAAGGGTAACTTGACTTTATTATAGATCGGTGGAGCGTGTGTGGTTAACCGGCACATCGATTAGGTAATATAGTTAAGGGTACCAAGTCAATTTGTATGGTTATTCACACCTTGTTTGTGATCCTCGGCATCCCAGTCACAAACTTGAGAGGGCACAATCGAGATTCAAACATGCCATTGAAAAGTTCAATGTATCTCAAAAGATCTAGGAGTTTCAAATCCAATAAAACCAAATAATAAAATATTTCGTTCTTATGGTGGAAATTGGTAAATCGTCATTTACCTACCTTCAAATATTTTATAGCTTGGATTACGGCATCCCTCTTCCAACTATAAATAGTTTGTTGGATCCTAGCCTTAATATTTCATTTGGATGACTTATTAAGGACTCTTAATCTAATGAAACTTGTTTTTCTTTTCTTTCAGATGTCTTCCAACAATGCTTCTGGCTCAAACCCAACAGGCTCCTTTTCCCTTATGAACTTGTGTGGGAAAGTCACTTTTAATGGATCCAACTTCAATGAATGGATCAGAAACATCAGGATGATTACCCGCTATGAGGACAAGGAGTATGTCCTCGATAGGGAGCTTAAGGTTGTGAATGAAGCCACTGCTACTCCTGAAGAGTTTGCGGAGTTTGTTGCACATGAAAAGGATGCTACTAAAGTAGCATGCATCATGATGGCCACCATGACTCCTGAACTTCAAAAATCCTATGAAGATTTCTACCCCTATGAGATGCACCTGGATCTGATGGAAAGGTACCATCAGAGCGCGCGTCAGGAGAGGTATGAAATCATCTCCTCCATGATAACAACCAGAATGAAAGATGGTGAACCCATCACCGGTCACATACAGAAGATGCAAAGGTTCGTTGACCGGTTATTGAAGCTTAATGTGGACTTTCCTGAAGAAATGGCGATTGATATCATTCTCCATTCCTTACCTCCAAGTTATGATCAGTTTCGTATGACTTATCATATGAACAAGGAGGAAGTCACACTGAGTAAACTTCAAGGACTTTTAAGGACAGCTGAAAATGGCCTTAAGAGTAAAGCGGTTGTTACTTCTACTTCTACTCCTTCAGCAGCCCCTGTTCTTGCGATTGGGCAGGGAAAGGGTAAGAAGAGGAAAACCCCTTCGAAGGGTACCAAGGGTAAGCCCCTTGATGGTTCCTCTTCTAGTGGGACAAAGAAAGGTCCCATTACTCCTTCCTCAAACTCAAAGGAAGCACAATGCTTCTATTGTCAAGAAAAGGGGCACTGGAAGCGAAGCTGCCCCAAATACTTGCAAGATGTAAAGGATGGGAAAGTTAAACCCACCCATGCAGGTATTTATACAATATTGTCTAATAACTCATCTAATGCTAATTCTTGGGTGCTTGATACAGGTTGTGGTATTTACATTTGTACTGATTTGCAGGGCCTAAGAAGAAGTGAGCAAGTGGAGCACGGGAAGATAAACTTAGTCATGGGCAACAGGAAAGCTTCACCTGTCACCAAGATAGGAGTTTATTCTTTATTGCTAAATAATGGGTTAATGTTAGATTTGAATAAATGTTGTTACTCGCCTGAAATGGCGAGAAATATTATTTCCTTTCATGGCTTGTACAAACAAGGGTTTACATTTTTATTTGATAATAATAATGGTGCTATTAATGTTTATTACAATGATGTATTTTACTTTAAATCATTACCTTGTGATGGTGTATATGAAGCTGTGAATGTTGTAGACAATCTAGGGAATAATGTGTTGTATATTGATTCTTCGAATAGCTTGGATAAAGCATCCTTATGGCATTGTCGTCTTGGACATGTCAACAAGAAGCGCATAGGCCAACTCCAAAAGGCTGGAGTCTTGGAATCATTTGACCTAAAGTCGGATGATAGTTGCGAGTCTTGTTTACTTGGAAAAATGACAAAATCACCATTCACAGGAACTTGTGATAGGGGTGAAGGTTTGTTGGACCTGGTACACACAGATGTGTGTGGGCCCTTCAGAGTTGCTACAAGGGATGCTAATCGCTATTATGTGACTTTTACTGATGATTACAACAGATATGGATATATCTACTTAATCAAGCATAAGTCAGAAACCTTTGAAAAGTTCAAAGAGTTTAAGCAGGAAGTAGAGAATCAATTGGGCAGGAACATCAAGATGCTCCGATCCGATCGGGGAGGAGAGTATCTTAGCATTGAGCTCCTTGACTATCTTAAGGAATGTGGGATTGTCTCACAGTTGACACCTCCCAGAACACCACAGTTGAATGGTGTAGCTGAGAGGCGCAATCGAACCTTGTTGGATATGGTTCGTTCCATGATGAGTCGAGCTTCGTTACCAATCTCTTTCTGGGGGTATGCCTTAGAGACTGTCGCCCATATCCTTAATCTAGTCCTTACTAAAAAGGTTGCCAAAACACCTCACGAGATGTGGACTGGGAAAGTTCCCAATTTAGACCACATCAAGATTTGGGGTTGTGAAGCTTTCGTGAGGCGTGAGACTCATGATAAGCTTGAACCTCGAAGTGAGAGGTGTATTTTCATCGGCTACCCACATAGATCCTTTGGTTACCTCTTTTACAGACCCAATGATAACGTGGTATTTGTAGCAAGAAGAGGAGTCTTTCGTGAGAGAGAATTTATAAGCCAAGGGGACAATGGGAGGCAAATTGACCTTGAAGAGCTTCAAGAGTCAAGCGGTGAAGGAACCTCAAATACTATCGACCAACCTGAGGAGGAAACTCTTGTTGATCCGATAGATGAGTCTGTACCTCCGAGACGTTCCACTAGGGTGAGGAACACACCTGATTTTTATTATGGTTATCACATCACCACTGAAGGTGATACATTTATTAGTGATAGTACACTAATAGATTTGGATGAACCTAATAATTACATGGAAGCCATGGCAGGCCCTGAGTCTGCTAAATGGAAGGAGGCTATGGACAGCGAGATTCAGTCCATGTATGACAATCAAGTGTGGAACTTGGTTGACAATGTCCCAGGTCGTAAGACAGTTGGGTGCAAATGGATCTTCAAGAAGAAGACCGACATGGATGGGAAGGTACACACTTATAAAGCGCGGACTGGTTGCGAAGGGCTTTACTCAAACTCCGGGAGTTGACTATGATGAGACCTTCTCACCAGTAGCGAAGATTAAGTCTATTAGGGTTTTGCTAGCTATAGCTGCATTTCATGATTATGAAATATGACAAATGGATGTCAAAACCGCTTTCCTTAATGGAAAGTTGGCTGAGGATGTTTACATGGCTCAGCCAGAGGGTTTTGTCGATCCAAAATACCCTAATAGAGTGTGTAAGCTTGAGAAATCCATTTATGGATTGAAACAAGCATCTCGCAGATGGAATCTTTGCTTTGATAAGAAAGTCAAAGAGTTTGGCTTCTCTAGGAGTGAGGATGAGTCTTGTGTGTATGTCAGGGCTAGTGGGAGTATAGTCAGCTTTTTGGTGTTGTATGTGGATGACATACTTCTCATAGGAAATGACATCCCAACTTTGCAGGAGGTTAAGTCCTGGCTTGGGAAGTGTTTCGCTATGAAGGACCTTGGGGAAGCTGCCTATATCATAGGGATAAGGATATTGAGAGATAGGAGTAAGAGACTAATTGGACTTAGTCAGAGTACTTATGTGGATAAGGTACTGAAGAGGTTCAGTATGCAAGATTCCAAGAAAGGAGAATTACCAATCCAGAGTAATGCCAAGCTAAGTAAGACTCAGAGTCCGAGTACAGAGGCTGAGATAGCTGAGATGAGTCATATACCATATGCTTCTGCGGTGGGCTCAATCATGTATGCTATGACCTGTACTCGCCCTGATGTGGCCTTTGCTTTGAGCATGGTCAGTAGATATCAAGGGAACCCTGGCAAGGCTCACTGGACTGCGGTAAAGAACATTCTCAAGTATCTACGGAGGACTAAGGACTGGGTCCTTACCCTCGGAGGCAGTGATGACTTGAGAGTGGAAGGATATAGCGATGCTAGCTTTCAGACTGATAGGGATAATTTCCGCTCTCAGTCAGGCTGGGTCTTTATCCTTAATGGAGGGGCAATTACTTGGAAAAGTTCCAAGCAGGAGACAGTAGATGATTCTACTTGTGAATCAGAGTACATAGCAGCGAGTGAAGCAGCAAAGGAGATGATATGGCTAAAGAACTTCATTGGAGACCTTGGAGTTGTACCAGCTATAAAGGAGCCAATGGAAATTTTCTGTGACAGCGAAAGTGCGGTTGCTTTGGCTAAGGAACCAAGAGATCACGGGAGATCTAGGCACATTGATAGAAAATACCATTTCATCAGACATCGAATAGAAGAAGGACTCCTCATGGCTAAGAGGGTATCATCAGATGAGAACCCAGCAGATCCCCTCACGAAGGGACTGAGTAGGGTTAAGCATTTACAGCATGCGAGGCGCATCGGGCTGAAGGATGATATTAGTTTCAATAATTAGATTTCTGAAACTTGTAAAATGTAATTGACATTTTGATGATTAAATAAAAGTTGTTATTTATTTATGAGTAAAGTGTTACTATCTTATGTTAATCGTTTACTATGGTTTCAATTTTGCATGTTTTGACTTCCAGAATAATTATGTTTTATTCAAACTCTCCACAGTCGGTCATATGTCGGAAGTAGATATGAATCAAGACTGTCATGAATCTGTTTTGTATGATATGTCTAAAGGGTATTAGACATAGCAATAGTTGCTACAACATTCATGAGTGCTCATAAGTCCTGGGTATTGGATTCAACCCACGCTCACTTGCATCACTTCATGGAATTTATCTCGAGTGATCGTGAGACGGTAATATCATATAAATCTTTAAACCTAGAGATATGAGTTGTTGACTATGAGTTGGTTATTCATTGATTGTACGAAAACGCATTGGTAACTCGATGTTATAAAACGTGCTTTTGTGCATAATTTAACAAATAGTCAGTACAAGCATATGTGTCGAAGTTTATCTGTTCCTTCTAGAAATAGAAGCGATATCTGGGCCCCTCGATGATTTGGTTTTGACTTATGTACCGGGCCCGGTCAGAACCTAATTGATGTGTTCAATTTAGTTCTATGTCGAAACAAATCAGAGATCGAGAAACAAATGTTGGACAATAAGTAAGACCATGTTCCATGTGTTTGTCTGGCTGATATTTTGAGAGGAGAGGATTATATGATCACTTATCTTAAATGGCGTATCATTATTATCTCAGTTTCGAGAGACTTTGAAAGAGCTACGATTGCTAGTCGGATCCTGAAGTCATATCTGCAAATATAGTTATTAGACTTATCCAAGTGGGAGACTGTTGGATATAGTGTCTAAGTCCATAACTTTATTTGGTATGTACTTGACCCGACCCGGCATGGTCCATTTGGGTTGCATGGCATTGCAATACTTGGATAGACTAAATGAGAGAAAGGACACTTGTGATTATTAATATATTATAAGTTCTAATATATTAATAATAATATTATTTAATTAGTATTGATCAAATATTAATCTAGTATTAATTTGGTGATCAAAGTGATACTAATTAAATACATAGGGTTGATTATGACAATCATCAATTCTTTTATGGTGGATTAATGATCCATGGTTTATGGGTTTGGTTATAACCATTTGGAGCTCCATGGATATGGGAGTTACAAACCCATGGATCATGAGAAATGAAGAGTCATGACAGTTAAGGGCATTCATGTGGAAACCCTAATTGTGACAACACTATAAAAGGGACCCTTTGGCTAGCAAAATCGGCACTAGAGAGTTCTTGTGAGGGCATAACCGATTTTGGGTGTAAGAAGTATTCTCTCAAGTTATTCCAAGTTTTGTGGTGTTGTGTGAAGCATTTGAGGCACAACATTTGGGGTGCTAGGCTCACAAAGTCTTGAAGGAATCCAAGCAACAACAAGGTATGTATTTCTACTAGTCTTTATCTTTTATGTAATCCCCATGCCATGCTAGTTAGGAAATAACCTTGAAAAAGAAATTTGCATGTATATAGACAAAACATAGATTCGAGGTTATTAGGGTTGCATGTACACTTAGGAAGTGTTAGAATGCTTAAAACCCATCAGTTTGTCTAACATAAAAGGAAATTTTTGGTTTTAAATTTTGGGACGTTACATGCGCGTAGAGCGCGGCGTGCATTCTGACACCCCGATTCGTCAGGATACGGATGAGTGGCACCATAAGAAGAGTACACGTGTCAACATCTGGTGGTTCACGTGTACTGCGCGACGTGCACCCCAAAAATTTCCTATAAATAGAACTCTCAGGTTGATCCTTTTTCACACCTCATTCTCTCTCGATTTTTGTGCCAGTAACTCCCGAAGCGCCTCTCGAGTTCCGGACTCCCAAATTTTACCCTACATCAACGGTTTCATGAATTATAAGTGAGTTTATGGCCCCATTTTCCAAACCTTTTCTCGGGGGGGGGGGGGGATACATATTAAAATGCAACTATTAAATAGTTATTAGTAATTATAGTTAGATAATTATGCTCATAACATTAGGATGATATTATGCCCGGTAGATACTCTGCCCAAAATTTTTAGCTAATATTATGCATAGTTTTTATACTGATTCACACTGATAGATAAGATCATATCTAGTTATTGTGCTTGCTAGTTGCCAGGAAACGTTGATACTCTAATCGCTATTATACCCACCATTTGGATAAGCTTAGTATCTAGTGGTTACTCTGCCTAAATACTCGGCTACGCAAAACACACTAATTATATATATGTATAAGATAAATAATATATATATATATATATATATATATATATATATATAAAATAAGTAAAACAGTAAGAGTAACAACACGACGGGAGGCCCCCACAACAAGAGTTAGATGAGACACGATTCATCAACACACTCAAAGAATTTCAGCTAGCTCCCGTCCTATAATTGTTAAATCTTAAGTGAGCGGGAGAGATATGTATAGATCTATATGAGATTGACACTCCCACCTGTGGTTGCTAGCTACAACCCGATTGCAAGTCGAAGCAGGCATAACTTTCTAAACACATTTGCGATGTCTGATGAAACATCATGGTTTCGGGAATCAAAAGTCATAGCTCGATTATAGGAACTAATCGTAACTTTGTTAATCTAAAACTAGCTATCAAAAACTACGAATTAAATAAGTAGTGATAGTACATTCAAACTCGAGGAAACGAGTTTATATTACCCTTATCAAACTTAAAATGCCTTGAATAAGGAAGTAGTACATGCAACCCGATAAAAGAATATTAGGGGAATATTACCTAGGTACCAACAAAGGGTTTTGAAATCAACGAAAGTAATACAATACGCCCATTTATCCATATAGGTTCAGATTTAGTCACTAAACTATCTGAACCCACTATCAAAAACATTAAAGGAACGGTTAATATGCAACATAAGTTAAGAATACAACAAGAGTTGACTTAACGGAACTCGACAGAGTATTTCCAAGTATACAAAACATGTGGATTCACCAACATTATGTTGACCCTTTTAAAACTTACATGTATTCTTAGGTCACCAATGGAGATAGAAGATCATTCAACAAAAGGTTATGGACGAATTACAGTCTACCGAAGTGTATGATTGCCAAGAAAAAACTCAATGTAATAAAATTAAAGTTCTTTTGTAAGTTATCAGTTGTTGAATGAAAGTGATATTTATGACATGAATGACAGGTAACTTATCTATGAGCCAACATCCTAACGTCGCGCCGCCCGATGTTTCTGCCGCCAGGCCGGAGGTGTGACACCAACATATACTTCTTTCTGTTTATTTGGTCGTTGACTAGGTTAACAGTTAGTCGTTAAAGTTTGCTATTTGGCTGAACTAGTCTTGCATCTATCTTTTTATAATATCACATGTTCACACACAAAGTGTCATGATGCAACATGTAACAAAAGATAGAAATAAAATTTGTAGGATTCATAAACATTTTCTCTTTGTGGAGCATACATACTTCATTTCAAAATACATAAGTATAAAAGCATAATTTTAATTTTTAAGTGACATGTACCCCAAAGAGGGAAAAATCCATATATACTAGTTAAACCTAAGTTAACCTTAACAAAAACCTTCATGTTTATATGTCTAAATTCATTTAATACCATCATAATCCAAGAATGTTAAAACTAGCACCCTGGATTCATTACCAACCATTCCTAACTCCCCCATGACACTAAAGATTATACCAATATTTCATTTCATTAAGGTCTAATCATTATCATAAATTTAATCATATAAATTGTATATTTAACCAATTATATTGTCCTAATTTCCATACACCATTATCTAATTTCATATGTTAGATGCTCAGAAATCGCTACATAGTTCTAATAATAACATTCTACTCTTCAGTTACCAATCAATATCATCATTCCATTTTAAAGACACATTATGTGATATCTAACTTCTCATTTTATTCATATCACAAAACTCCACATGTTAAATAATATGATTTCTAACCTTTCAAGATGTAATTTCAACAATCTAGGATAATTGTTCAATTTTAACTTATTGAAGACGAATATTTAATCTTTCAATGGTTACTCATACCATAATCATATTTATCTTGTATTTCTAATGAAAGAAACAACAAAATATTATTAACGTAGTTGTTCTTGCATCAATTTACAAACACTTAATTCATTCAAATCTATTTTGGTGGTTATCGACCTAACACGACATGATAATCCATAAACGATGTTTAATTCAAGTTAATATTACAAGAAACAATGTTTATATAATTTGTTTTTTCATCTTTTTTTTTTCCTTGTTGTCTCCATATTTTAGAAAATAGTAACATACTTTAATTTTGTCTCATTCCTCACACGAACGCTCATTTCTTTATACCATTTCCATTATAAGGCATATTATAATATGTTGAAACACTATTCTCATTAAATTTTACATTTGGAGCATATTTTAGCAATAGTTGTAGATTTCTCGTAATTATCATCATTTTGACACTTTCCATTGTCATGACTTCTTTATCAGTTCATAAGCTTCAATAACTATTCACAAAGATGACACTTGTATAGTAACAAAAATTTAAGAATGTTACCCATCACCCCATGTATCTGAAGTGGAGGAATCGCAAAGTAAATCTAACGAGTTCAAACTAAATATCAAAAAACAAAAATATCACAATCTGAAGTGGAGGAATCGCGAAGGTAAAGTTGAGCACTAGAAAGAAATATAAAGTCATTGCCTGTAAAGGAGATGAATCAATACCCCTATCAACAAAGCTAAAAAGCAGAAACGCATTCATTCAATAATGGATATTCAAAGCACATGACAAGAACAAAGGATTAGCCAAAACATCTATCTCAGAACATTTGTTAATTAGGAGAAATCACTTTTACCAATGGAAAGAAGCAAAGGTAAAGTGTTTCAACCATTATGTCCAAATTAGAATATGAATATGGATTAAAACTTTTTTAAAGATGAACCAAGATGGAAAAGGTTTTAATGGAATAAGAAAATGAATCCCAAAAGCAACCAGTATATTTCATGTGTGAAAAGCATAAATAAATATGTTACAATGTGCACCAGAACAGCACATGAATTTTTACATGGAGGCAAAGTTATATCACTACAGCAGTGCCTGTGCCTCAACTTATTTCTAAAACAAAACAATCCACACAATTATGAACAAACAGAAACAAACACATGCATTCTAATCTGGTTCATGGACTTTTCACCCTTCTGTGTGTGTGTATCACATGGTCAATGGCTCAATGGCTCAAGCTGGAATGGGTTCAGGGACCCTACCAGAGTCATTTGCAGCCAAACTATCATAGTATTCAACCAACACTTCCCAACCACCAGGGCACATAAATCCATCTGGAGGGTTTTCTTTGTTCTTTGCAAGTGCTCTCATCTGTAAAGGGCAAAAATGTCCATTAACTCTCATTTCTGCAAAAGACATGAATGCCCTTCTCACAGAAACATTATACTTATACATACCTTGGTACCCGAGATGAAGAGGAAATCTTGAGGTCTGGAGGGATCAAAGAATTCCATTTTCTGCTTTGTCTTGTCATAAGCTGCCACCTGTAAGTAATATATATTTCCATGATTTAGTAAGAGAATCATAATCAAACCAAAAGGGTTTCTTTGGTTGGATGGAATGGAATGAACCATTCCATTCCATTCCTTCCTGGGAACACAAGGAATTGATTATGTTATGGAATGCAATGCAAGTAAGTACCTTGAAAGGAAGAATGTTTAGGCGTTCAAGTCCAGGTGCCATGCTGAGTACTTTCTTTCCATGATCAGCATCATATAAATCCCTTTTCTCAACTGGATGACTCATGCCAGCTGGATCACGGCCCACTATGTAAAAGTCAGCACCTGCATTGATCCGAGCCTTGGCATGCCACTGCACCTCAGTGGGCCCCGCATAGTGCATTGGAGATGGAAATATCGACACAACTGTGTTTTCTGGATCAAGAACACCATCTTCAAGCACCTAATCATATTCATATCATTTAAAAAAAAAAAAAAAAAAAAAAAAGTTACACAATCATAATTGTAGTAACCAAAAACTATAATAAAATTTTGCTAACCTTCTCATGTTGCTTCATACGCCAGCTAAGGGGAACATCATCTGCCTTAGTGAATCCCCCAAGTGGATGAAGCAAAAGAACAGGATTCTTATACCCCATTTCAAGAAGCCTTCGCCTTGTGTCAGTCATCAAAAGAGCATGACCATTGTGAACTGGATTCCTGAGCTGGAAAGCAAAGACGGCATCAGCATTCCGTTTGGTGAATTCCGCCCGAAGTTCTGAAGGGGAAAGTCTGTATTTGTCAAGACCATCATTGTATTTGATTGGTTGTATGACTTCAAGATCACCACCAATCAGCCAATCCCCTGCACCTGTTATGGCTTCTTCAACATATGGAAGACCAGGGGCAGTGGTGCCCCATGTTCTTGCTATTCTTTCTTCTTTGTTGTGCTTGTAGATCTCAATACTACATGATTAATACATAAATCATCAGAAATTCAATACTTGTAGGTTTTCAGTCTTTTCAAGGTGAGAGATATATCACTTTTTGATATTTATCTCCTTTTCTGGTAAAGAAGATACCAGAAGGCGCCTTGTGAATCATCAATATACCTCGGATTCATGATTAATGATTCTGGAATAATGCCCAACAGATAAAGACTAAACCATTTTGTAGCTGATAACTATAAAATTAGTGTTTACAAGTTTGAAGGAGATAAAGTACTAACTTTTTTCGTCTACTTTTAAGCAGATTATCATCATAAAGATGTTCAGTGGTAGTTATAAAGTTGGAAAGGTCCCTGGATTAATAACAAAATGAAATAAATCAATAATGAATGTAGAAAAGCATCTTACTTGTTCAAAATAGCAATCGGGTTATCAGAAGAGTCAATGAGGGCAACAGATGTGGAACCGGAAATCCGATTCTTTTGAGAATCGTCAATGTCCAGGACGATTGGCAAGGACATATTGACGATTGACCCGTCTCCTAATCGGAGCGAGTTAAAATGAAGAGTTTGGAGGAACTCGGATTCTCTCATGAACCCGGTTAACGGACTAGCCCAGCCTTCGCTGAGCACATGGACCCATTCCAGATCGATCCTGGAGAGCTTGATTTTGGGCAAAGACATGGCTTCCCGCTTCTTAACATCTCTCTGGGATTCCGGAACGACAAGCTCAACGAGCTTGCCTCCATCTGGTTGAATCAACCCGCAAGAGATACGAATCGATTTTGGAATCGGTTTCTTTTTGTAGGAGGAGTAGGAGACAGGGGAGACAATAGGGAAATTGATTCGGTGGGTTTTGGGGAAAGGGTTGTTAGACTGGATTGGTGTCTTGATGATAAAGGAAGCCATGGCAGCCATTGTTTTCCTGTTGTCCCTCCTTTATTGCCGATTGCAAGGGGAGACAAAGGTTGATTTTTGATTCAGTTCCAGTCCAGGCTGTGTCAATGGAATCATAATAGTAGGAATATAAAGCGGAGTTGGGAGGATGAACCTGGACACTTAAGTTTTTGTATTATAATCGTTTACACGTTTTAATTTTGTTTTTACTGCAAAAGTTTCCTCCACTTTGTTCTTTGGTTATATAAAAAATAATATTTTTCTGCGTAGCTTTATTATTCTTTATTTCTAATCAATAAATATACATAGATATGCATAATTGTACGGACGCTCTACAAAAGACCGAACATTCAAGTATTCAACCATTCTTTTGAACTTTAGACAAAAAAAAATTCGTTTATTTTGTTAAATAAAAGAAAATAAAGACTATTTTTGTTTATTGAAATATGATTACATTTGTTCATTTATGTTTATAAATATGTTTATTTATGTTCGTTATGATCTAATTACGTTTATTTATGTGTATGCAACATACGAATATATATTCGCTTATCATATCTATATATGTATGTTTATGTTTGTTTCGAATTTTAATGAACATAAACACAGAACATGTTCAAGTTAAACAAACAAATGTTTATGTCTAATCATTCTGCTGGTTTATGCATATAGGAAGACGATGGAGAAATTTTGTTTTCTAAATAAAAGTATAAAAGCAATTAACTTAATAAATAAATTGATTATATAAAATAACAATATATTATTACATATATTAAAACAAAAGTCTTTGCGAAAAGTAAGGCGTTGTTTGTTTATTAAGCTAAAATGTCTGCAGTTTACGGACCACATTTGCAAGCCTATGTAGCAGAAGAGGTGGACAAACTGTTTGCAATCTGCAATAAGAAGTTTGTTTTTTAACGTTTGCAGGTTGCTCACATAAATTGAATTTTAAATAAATTGAGTTTACATACTTAAAATGGTTTTTCAACACCAAAATTCTAATAATAATAATCGTACAACATTAAAATAAAATTCATGCAACCAAATTAGACTTACAATAAAAAATTTAGTTTTATAATAACAATTTCTTTTAAAATATTTCATTCAAAAGTTTGCATCAACTGCTCAACAATTCATCCTGTAACTGAGTCATATATTCACGATCTGTTGTAGTACAATGTGTTGGAACCTCGTCTTCATCATCATCAACGGACACATTGTTATTTCAAAACGAGACATTGAGTTCATCATATCGTGAGAAATACTCATTACTCAATCCTTCTTTTTTTATAAAATTATGAAGTGTGAAACATGTCAATGCAATGTTTCTTTGTGTAACAAACGGGAATGGTGACATCCTCTTCAATATGGGGAATCATGCTTTCAAAACACCAAAAGCACGCTCAATGACGTTCCGAAGTTTTACATGTCCATGGTTAAAAATTTCTTTATTGGTAAATGCACGTCTTTGACGAAAATCTTCAAGCCAATACCTCATATTATGATATGGGGCCATAAATCTTCGAGTGTGTGCATACGCGACATCACAAAGATAATATTTCTCTGTAAAAATGCAAAACACTAATCCATTTACAAACTATGATTTAAAAAAAATCATAAACTTACCTGGTGGTGGAAACGGGAATGATGCATGTGGATCGGCTAATGCTTCTAATAATATTCTAGAATCGTGCGCTACCCCTTCCCAACCGGCCACAACAAACGTACAAATCATATTGAAGTCACAGATTGCCAGTACATTTTAGTAACAATCGCTATTTTCCTTACTTCTATATAAATTTTGTTTCTTAGCAGGGACAACAACATGTATCAAAGAGTCATTAAGTGCACCAACCGCTCATTTGAAAACTCGTTGTAGCCTCCTATTATGTCCCGGAATGTTTGGATTCAGATTAAAAGAAATTGGTACTATAATGTCTTTTGGGAAAAGCATCATTTTGTCCAACACTTCATAAAAAAAATTATGAATTGTTTGCTTTGGGTGTTGAAATCTCCGCTTGATAATCACGTAATGTTGATTATGAACGATCATCATAAAAAACATAGTCATCTTTTCCTCGACCGATACATGTTTACTATCATTTAGCGAGTAATTTACTCTAAAATGAGCACATAGTCGGACAAAAGATTCACGAGATATGCATAGTACTTCGACACATTTTAAAGGATTATGTTGCAATAACTCTAACATGTATTCATGTCCCATCATTTTTGAATCATTGTCCCGCACTCGTTTCACACCTCTCTTCCAAAAATAATAGACATACAAGTACATAAGAACTACGAAAAGTATCTTTTGATCGTGATCCATTATGCACCTATTAATCAACAAAAGTAGAAATTTAAAACATAACAATAACCAAATTCACATAGCAAAGAAATATTATATCAACCATATTTCAAATTTCAAGTAGCAAAAAAAAAAAACAACACTTAACCATATTTCAAGTAGCAAAAAAACATTACATTAACCATATTTCAAATTTCAAGTAGCAAAAAAACATTATATTAACCAAATAGTTATTGGCAAAAGCAAAAAAAACCCTAACAAATAGTTCCAAACACAAGCAAAAAAAAACCTTCAACAATGGTTTCAACACAAGAAAAATCATTGGACAATTTTTCTATCCTTTAAAACTCCTAAACTTGTACCTGTCATCTCGATCCATCGTCATAATATCTCGGGAACATAGGGCAAATTCATCCACATCTCTCTCATATTCATGGCCCCTCCAAAAATATGATATGCAGTAAAGCATAGAGGATCTATGGGGCCTAACTCAAGAACCTCTAACTACTCTAAACATTGAGGAATTGTATACCCTTTAGTCAAATGTTGTAGAACTTTTTTTCATTTCAAATGCTAAATCGTCAACAATAATAGAAGGTTCATCAGGTGAGGCACTAAGAGCTTTATGAGTTGAGGGTTTAGCCATTTTGTTGGGGTTACCAGAGGGTGAAGCAGTAGACGGTGAAGGGGTAGAAGGTGAAGCAGCAGAAGGTCACGACTTACAAAAAGGCTCACTAGCATGATGGGATGTGTCATCATCATCATTTATTGCAACAAAAGGGGTGCATGTAATCTGAAGTGGTGGAACATGGCACGAAGATGGTCCAGCTCTTGATGATGTTTGGGTTAAGTAACACTTGAAATTACCAATGATACTATTTCCATCAAAAAGACTTGCACAAAGATCTGGAAAAGGCAGTGCAATTGTTTTCAATGAAGTTGCCTTCGGATGCCCCTAAACCCAAATGTAACAAAAACAAGTATAAGGATATTTGGCCACTTCAAAAATAAATGTTTAATATATATATATATATATATATATATATATATATATATATATATATATATATATATATATATAAAGGTTGCAAAAATCGTTCGGCGGTGGACTGGGGTCAAGCGATTAATCGGCTAGGCGAGGATTAATCGGGGACCATTAACTATTAAAAAATTAATAAATATAACATTAATCCAAAGAATATAACATCAAATATAACATTAATAAATATAACATTATATCAATTAAAAAAATTATTAAAGATAACATTATAACATCAAACTATGATTACAAAAAACCCTTTTGATCTTTAATACATCACATCTAAATAACTAACTATTGCACTTGGATCTAATTTATAAAATGAAAACATGAATAATCCATTATTGTGAGGCATGATTTCACATTATCAGCATGTTTTTGCACCTTATCAGCATTAACACTTTCATTCTGAGTTCATAACCGATCCATTCTTATGTCATGCAATGCACAATCCATTCTTGTGAGGCATGATTTCACTAATCAATTCATATTACATGCTTGTCTATCAGTGTTTATATACATAACCAATCCCTTCTTATGTGTAGCATATATTCCACCAACAATAGTTAAACCCAATACATATTTATTGCTAAAGTTTTAATCAAGAACCCATGAATACCAATACCTTGCTTTGATAATCAAGACTAGTTGATAATCAAGACTACAAGATTCACTCAGGAAATTGATCGAACACTTGGTGGGCAGATGGTTTCATACACCAATCGAGTGATTTCCTAATCATCTATACCACCATACACGCATAAAACCAATCTGTGTCGAGATTAAAGAACTAAGAAACATGAAAATAAGATTAAAAACCAATATGTAAGAGATGGCTTACCCTCATAGCAGATTTGCTAACAGGGCTCTGTGTAGATTTGCTTATGAGGCAATACATCTTCAAATAGGGAGGAAGGGGCAGAGGGTCGTCGAATGGCGACAATGAAGTCTGAATCAGGTCGTCGATGATATCTGGAATCAAGTCGTCGACGCATCCACAAAGCCTAAAATTATAGGTAAAAATAAACATGTAATCATGTAAACGAAATCGAATTTAGACTATAAACGATTAAACAAAATCCCAAAAACCACCACGCTTCCATGGCTGACGATCATCGTCTTCAAGGTGATTGTTCAACTGATCATGGGGAAGTTTCATCTCGACCTAATCCTGGATTCTGAACTGACGGATTTCATCTCGACTTAATCATGGGAAAGTTTCGTGTTTCTAGTGAAGAAGGAGGGTGGTGTAGAGGGTGTTCGATGGAGTTGTGAAGAAGGAAGTTTCGTGTTTGCATCCCACATCGCTCGTGTTTCCAGTGAAGGATGAAGTTTCGTGTTTGCATCCCACATCGTTGGTGGGACAATAGATGAAGGCACACATATCTTCTAAAAGGAGAGTTAGTTCCTTCAAAAAATCAAACCCAATCGGCAATATATACAATTCTCAAACAAACACTTTTAACTCAACAGTTGAGGAGTGAGATGATTTTAAGAAGGTATATATATATATATATATATATATATATATATATATATATATATAAGTCTAATAGAGGATACAAGAAATATATACAATTCTCAAACAAACACTTTTAACTCAACAGTCGAGGAGTGAGATGATTTTAAGAAGGTATATATATATATATATATATATATATATATATATATATATATATACCTTCTTAAAATCATCTCACTCCTCGACTGTTGAGTTAAAAGTGTTTGTTTGAGAATTGTATATATTTCTTGTATCCTCTATTCGACTTATATATATATATATCTATA